ATTGCTTTGTTTTTTTAAATTTTAACTGACTTGGCCTTGCCTTGGGCCGAGCTTGATCCTCAGGGGAATAGGGTTGGGGGTAGGGTGAGAGCCCGGTTGGCCCAGGCCCAGCCTGTTGCCCGCCCTAATGAGTGAGGTCAACGACTACGTTAAATTTCATAGAATTATTGGAGAAAAGTAAAACTTTTTTTGCAAAAAGTAGCAAAGGTAGTGAGAATTTAAGGAAAGGTTTTTATACTTCCCCTACAACATAGAAGATATATACTCCCCCTATCTGGCCGTCTAATCTAGATCAAGTGAGCCGCTGAAATTTCTATATCAAATCGAAGCCCTCAAAAGCATGGTCACAACAGACCCATAATTGTGACGATCCGATATCAAGATCTCGAGATATAGCCTCTTGAACAATGAGATGTTTCTCTTTAAAAATTTGAAATTCATGTGTTTCGAAACTCAACTTCTATATAAAAATTCTCGCGTTTTGGGCAAACTTACCATATATTAAGTGTTTCAAAATGTCAGTTGCTTGACTTCCTAGGCGGCTATTTTAAAAAATACCTAGGTGTTCTTAAGGCGGGACTAATTAGACGCTAGAACTAAGCGGCCATCTAGCAGGTTAGGCGACTGATTAGGCAGTTAACAAGGCGGAACTAGGCGCCTGCCTAGGCGACAGGTTGGGCTTTGGCAGAAATTTGTTTTTGAGTGGGGGCAAAAAATGACATTTTACCCCCTTGAAAAGGGGGATAAGGGTTCAGCCGGTCATTCTTGCCCCCAAAACAAATTTAGTGAACTTTAGAGAGCGAAATAACTTTAAAAAAAACTAGATTTTAAGAGATTTTGAGAGGTCAAATTTTTTTTTTTTTAAATCCTCGAATGGTCACGATATTAAATGATATTCAACCCCAATCTTTTTTAAGTTTATAGAGGTTGTAAAAGAGGAGATTTGAGATCCCAAACACTATGGTTTGGCCCGAAATCGAGTCCGCCTCTTGGTATATTTCATTAGTTTTTATTAGGTTTTATATTTTTTCCCTTAATGTCTAATGTTATTATTTTTTTGCTATTTTTAATTGTTTTTTCTCATATCAGGGGGTCATTTTTGCCCCCAAAAGTCATTTATACATTTGAAGTACCGACGGGATCAAGTTGTGAGAGGCACCTTCTTTAATACAAATATGTCAAAAATATCATGTACATTTGGGACCAGACGTTTTTCAACTTGTTTTGAAAAACAATTAACGCTCATGCATGAAGCCGACTTGAAACGATTTTTTAGGGTGGTAAGCAATTTAGGCCCTTGAAACTACGGGGCACGAGAAGTTTTGAAAATGCAGTTTTTGAAAATGAGATTGAAAAGAGATGAGTTGAAGCGAAATGGTCGCGCAGTTTAAGCTCGTGCGACCATGGAGCATTTAAAAACTTTTGAAAATGAAATTTGCGAATGGAATTGAAGTGGGATGTAACGGTCATGCAATTTAAGCTCTTGTGACCATGGTGCATCTGAAATTTATTGGAAATAAAAAATATGGAGAAATTTTGCAAATACATGGTCAAGCATTTTAGGTTTTTGAGACCATGGAGCTTGGAGAAATTTTTGGAAAATGAGAATCTTGAAAATAGGATTGAAATAACATAAAATGTCACACAGTTTAAGCTGCTGCGACTGCAGAGCATTTGAAATATTTTGAAAGGAAAATTTTATGTCGGTCCTACAGTTTAGGCTCGTGCGACCGCTGAGCATTGGAATGAATTTTGAGAGACTTTGAACAATTTTAAAAAGGAATGGAAGTTGAATGGTATTTTTTAGAATTATTTTGAAGACTTTTGACTTGGAGATAGAATATCTAAATTAAGAAGATTTTATCTTTGAAAATAATTTATTTTTGGGAGAATTATTGGATTTTTGAATGACACGAGGGGTAATTTGAAAATTTTAAAGATGAAAATTTATTTTGCAAAGGTAAATTCCTTTTCTTCCTTTTTTTTTTTTTATGCTGGAAAGAAGGGATCATTTTCAGAAGAAATGGTGTGGGGAGAGTTTCTAGAAGTTCCTAAACGGAGGGAAATCTTTTATTTTGAAAATTATCCCTATTTTGTTAAAATGGGGAAATCCATTTGAAATTGGATGGAAAAATGGCATGATTTAGATTTTTTTTTTTTCTAAATTATGAAAGATTCTTGGAAAGTGACTGGAGTGGTTCTCAATATAGGACAGAATAGAAAAGTAATTCTGTTGAAAATGAGGGAAAGATGGAAAATTCAGCACATTTTACTGGTCATAACTTGCCAATGGGAACTCCAAATCACATTGAAGCACCACCAGTGCGTTGGGGAGAATTTTCCACGTGATCCGGTGTGGTGTGGGTTTCTGAGCTGCAAGATGTGTAAGTGTTTGAAAGGCTATTGCGCCGCAGTATGTGGTGCAGGAGTCTTTCTCTCTCGAATTGATTGAAAACTTTCCTATTTCTTGAATAAGTTTGTTTCTTGGTTTGGAAAGTTCTCTGCATCTCTATAAAATGGCCTTAAGGCCATACCTTGATCTTTATCCTTGTGTTCTCAACTCCCTTAATCTTTTACTTTAAGCACCTTTATCTCCAACCTTCATTATTGAGCTTTGCCTTCATGTCTTCCAGGAAGCGTACTATTATCATTAATGATTCTGATTTGGAGGCTTAGTCCTTCTCAAAGTATAAAATTTTCGCTTGTACCGCTTGTAAGCCTCATTCATCACCATCTTCATCTTCTTATGCTTCGTCATCGTCATCATTTTCTTCGTCTAATGGATGGGGATATGTGGATCGCAAGAACGACGACATCTTAGACTATCTCCTTAACTTTGCAAACAAGCAGACTGAAAGTCTTACCACTATTAAAGATCATTTTCTAGGCAAAATAAGGTCCATAGAGCTTCTTGAAAGCTAACTCGATCTTAAAGACTACATGATTGCTTCAAGGGATACCGAGCTTCCTGCTGAGGATGGAGAGATCGCGCATCTCAGAGAGGAACTTAAGGAGGCTTGTAAAAACTGTGCTTCCATAAGAAGAGGGCTTCGAGCTCTTCATCCACTTAAACAGAGTTTTTCACTTTTGTTTTGCTTTTTTACTTTGTTGCTCTGAATGTTGGCAACGATCCAAAATAAGGTCGTAGCCTTTAGGATTTTCACCTTCTTCTCTTCTTTATTTCTGTCCGGATCATCGTAAGGTCTCAAAGACCATTTTGATGTAATAATCCCGGCATTCTTGCAGATTTGGAAATTAATGGAACTTGGATTTTCAATTATTTTGAAATAAACTTAAGGAGGTTGCTTCTATCTAAGTACACATCGGATAATTGGACGCCCCAGTAGTGGGTGTAATCAAGAGGTAGACAATTGGGGTTCAGCTTCATGGGCTTATGGAGTTCTAGAATCCCAAATTCACGAGCTAATGCGAGCTTGTTTCGGTTTGTTTTTCTATAAAAGGGCATGAGTTTCTAGAACTTCTTCATGATTTGTCTAATATGTCGTAACATATTTTGAGTGTAAAACATTCTGTTATATTCGCATCAATTTGTGTTAAGATTATCTAACTTCAACATCTTCTCTCAATCATTTATGCTTCTTCAAGGTCTTCTATTTATTATTTGTTATGTATCGATTAAGGAGCTGCTACTTCTGTCGTGTTTTATGAGAGTATTGAGCAATAATATATTCTATGGTGAATCAATTAAATTTTATAGAGGTGTGTCCTATTATGAGCACCAGAGAAATATGTTCATTATTGCATCATGCTTGATAGAAGTCTATACTATTTTGAAACGGGCCTCAAGGATTGTTTTTCAACAGATGGCAGTCGTTGGTGGTGTGGAAACAAACAAGTTATTTTGCTAATTATAAATCAAGATTCACAGACGAATAGTTGGGATAAGACTTTAATTATAATGATAGATCAATATTCACACTGGTAAATTATATAATGAACATTCTTCTGTGGTGCTCATTATAGGAAATTCTGCGATGAGATTTAATGGATTCACAATAGGAATATCCAAAGGACCAAGCCCAAGTAAAAATGCCATTTTGTTTCACATAAGACATTAATATACACTAGGAATCAATCCCTCTGTTATCACACAGTTCCAAAAAGCTCCAAGCCTAACAACCATATGAAGCTACAATACCAATTCAAATAACACGTCCTCCCCTCTAGTATAGCAAATTTTGGAGAGATTTTCCTCTTGTTCGAGCTTTTCTGATTGATTCCTTTGAGCAACAAAAAATAGAATTGAAAAACTTACAAATAAAAAAAATGATAAAAGAAAAAAGACCAAGGGAACAACTTGATGGCAGCCATCCTATCGCAATTCCAAGAGGTACTTGGGTGAAGTTGAAGAGGACATGGTAGATCTTGAAGTTGTGGTGGTGGTGGTAGAGTCAATATGGCTGTCTGTGATATTACTCGAAGTCGTATATGAGAACGTCAATAGGTTCATCGGAGGTGCAAAGTACATGGGCACAGGCATCTTTGATGGAAGTAATGGCATTGCTACATCAAAATTGAGCACTTGTATGACTTGTCTTATAGATGGCCTTGGAGTTGGATCAGGGTGTGCGCACCATAGCCCAACAACCATGAGACATTCAATTTGCCTTTTGTCAAAATCACTGAACAATTTCTCATCCACACAGTCTAGTAGCCTTCCTTCACCATAACATTCCCACACCCACTCTACCAACCTAACCCTAGAAGCCTTTGCTAATGGTTCAATGGCGCGTCTTCCACAACAAATCTCGAGTGCTACGACACCAAAGCTATAGACATCGGACTCTCTGCTAGCCTTCCCAGTGGTGACACATTCAGGAGCTAAGTAGCCCATGGTCCCAGCAATCACAGTTGTTTGTGAGGGTTGATCATGGTCCACTAGTCTGGCTAGCCCAAAATCCCCAAGTTTAGCATTGAAATTGGTGTCCAACATTATATTGCTCGATTTAATATCTCGATGAACTACGCATTGCTCCCATTCCTCATGAAGATATAACATGGAAGAGGCCAACCCCATGGCGACCTTGTACCTTAAGTCCCATGTGAGCTCAGTTTTCTTCCCAAAGAGATATTGATCAAGGCTACCATTAGGCATGAACTCATAAACAAGGAGCAATTCTGCTCTGTAGTGACACCACCCAATGAGTTGAACCAGGTTCCTATGTCTCAACCGGCTTATAATTGTCACCTCAGAGACAAACTCCTTTTTCCCTTGTTTAGATCCACTGGAGACCCTCTTTACAGCTACTGCTTCATTGGTATCAGTCAATAGTCCCATGTAAACCCCTCCAAACCCCCCTTCTCCAAGCTTCCCCTCTTCGTTAAAGCCATTGGTTGCAGAGACGAGTTCTTTGTATTTAAACCTCCGAGGCCCATTGCCCCTTTCGAAATCTTCATCCATGGATTCCTCGTCCTCCTCCATATCTCCCCTTTCTCTCAGTTTCTTCTTCACCCTCCTCCTCCAAACTACCATAATCAGGACTAACATCCCGACCATGAAAAATACAAGACATAAAACAAACCATATCACCCATCTTTTATCACCTGCTACCTTCCCTTCGTCGCATGAACCCAAACTTGAGCTGAACTCCCAGGAAAAGACGGTATGAACTTCAACGAGATTTCCAGTGGCCGCCGAGAATCCTATGTTAACACATTCCGGTAGAACCTTCGACAAGTCGACTTCATGAGAAAGACTAGAATTCCCTCTGAAGGTAGGATTGTTAACATAAGTAAGAAAGACAGACAGACGCTTAGTTGTACCATTGTAAGTTACCCACGCATTAGCCCTTCGCCCATCTCTGATGCTACTATTCCAAGACACATTAGCCACCGACTCAATCGAATTGACGTTGATCCCAACATGATTATCGTTAGGGTCCCAGTCATTTTTTAAACTGTCGAATTCAACAGCAACAACAGGGTTAGAGGAGCTGTTAGTTCTTACCGCTGTATCATAGAGACCGAGGTTCCCACCTCTAGAATCACTTGGGATGTCCAAATTGGCTGCGAGGATGAAAGCAAGCCCATCACCATAGAGAGATTCATTGAAGGCATTAATGACAAACTGGAAGTGAGAGGTGAAATCGGCTACAGCTCCCGTGTTAGAGTCCCACAATCGAATCGGGAATTCGTAGAAGGCACGTCCAACACTGTTGGTTAAGTTGTCCCCTCTTTCATTTCGTGTAACTTGGAGGCCGTTTCCATTCGAGAAGGCATCACCAACATATCGAATGTCAGGAGTGCTTTGGTTGAATGAAGAGAAGTTGAAATTCACAGAGTGGGTGAGTGAAGAAAGATGAAGAAGAAGAAAAAGATGAAGGAACAGAAACAGAGGAGGAGATGAGTTGCAGAGGGCCATTGATCTTAGTTTAGATGGAGTAGTTGAAAGGAGTTGAAGATGGATGGTTTTTGAACATAAATATAGGTGTACATATCCCATTCAAAAATTTTAAAAAATTGATATATTGTGACTTGGTTTAGCGTTTGAAGAAGTACGAGTGTTTTGCGAGGTCAAATGCCGTGTTTTCGTTTGAGGATTTTGTTTGAATGGGGCAGCCCACCTTGGCCAAGTGGGTCAATGGTGGATTGTAATTTTTGCAGTAAGAAATAATTGCATATAGCAAGGGGGGGGGGGGGGGGGGCTTTACTGTTCTTAAATAATTGGAAGATAACACCCGTTATATCGCTTACGGCCGTTACAATATTACTACAAGGGGCACGGTTTCTATGCGACCAACCTACGTTTGGAAGAAATTCGGGCTTGACAATAAGTAATATAATTCGACCTTAATTTTTAGAGGATATATAAATCTTTAACATGTAGATCATAATTATGCAAACAAAAAAAAAATAGATTTTGAAAATTAGAAACAATAATTATATTAAAAAAACATTTAAACCGTTAGTTATAATTGTTTTTAGATGAACCACTTATTTGCATCTATCTTTAAGGTAAATGCTTTATATCATATTGTAGAAATGCGGTCAACAAATTTCTTTAAAAAAAAGTAATTGAAGGGGGCTAGAAAGTGTCCATATGGGGAAGCAAGGGTCTGTTTTTACCAAAAAGTGGCAGCATAAAATGTCCACGTGGATATGTTATTGGTTTCAGTTTAGGGTGTGATTTGTATAAGGTTGCAACTTCAAACAACCAAATTAAGGGGCATCTCTAAATATTATTATAACAAATAATTTTGGCAAAAAAAAATCTTCGAATTGCTTGAAAATCTATTTTTATCTCTAATGATAAAATAGACACAGGCCAAACCCATACATGTTGAAATACGGGCTTGGCAATAAATATATTTTTTAAATATAATTTTATCCTAATTTTTAGAGAATATATAATCTTTAATATAGAGATCATGAATCATGAATATGAAAAAACAAAAAGA